CAAGGTGGGTAGTATTTTATTTGGGGATACTACGGTACCCAGTATAGAGTAAGATTGTATCCTCCTTTTGGGGTATAGCACTTTATATAGGGAATAAAATCTTACTAGGTTCAACCTGGCCCCAAGGTCTTGTGGTGAAGGTCCTTTGCCCCAATGCGCTTGGTGGCAAAGCCTGTGGACTGAAGGCTGTGACAAAAGAGACTTACTGGCGGTTTAGGCATAGCCAGAGGTTTATAGTCCCCCTTAAGTAGATAGAATATAGGGTAATATAGGGATAATGGAGAAGAACATGGAAACTACTACTTAGGGTTTAGGGTGAAGGGTTTAGGGACATAGTCCCCCGTAAGTACATATAATATGGGGTATATGGGGATCCTATTATAATGTACCCAAAGCCATGTTCCATCTACTTAAGGGGGAATGTAGAGGTTTAGGGTTTGGAGTTTAAGGTCTGGCTTCTGGATTTTGGATTTAGAGTTTTAGGGTTCCAGGTCAAGGGCCTAGGAGGTGTAGGGCTTGGCTTTGGAGTGCGGAAGAAACGAGAAACACCCTAAACCCTAAACCCTAAACCCTCAACCGCAAAGGTTTTGGGGTGTAGGATTTCTAGCAGGGTCCTATATAGTCCCCCTTAAGTAGATAGAATGTGGGGTATATGGGGATCTCAGTATAATATATCCAAAAGCCATATTCTATCTACTTAAGGGGTCATACATAGGTATTTGTTTAGGCGATTGCAGAGGGGTCATTTTGGGGAGGAGTTGATCCGTCTAAACCCTAAACCCTAAACCCTTGACCCTAACTCGAAGCACCAGTAAGGAGAGCGACGCCCTCTCCAACTCTGCCACGTGGTCTGGTTTTGGGGTTTCAGGCTTCGGGTCTTGGATTGACCCTGAACCTGAAATCCTAAACCCCCTGAATCCTAAATCCTAAGCCCTAAGCCCTCAACCCCTAACCCTAAACCCTAAACCCCTAATCCTAAAGCCTTAAACCCAAAACCCCTAAATCCCAAAGCCCTAAACCCTCAACAGGATTTTGGGTCTAGGGTTTCCTGCTCTTGGTCTCCTCGGGTTCTTCTGGTTCTGGTTCCTCAAAGGGACAGTAAGCAAAGTTTTTTTTCCTGGCTATTGGTGCGGTTTAGGTTTTAGGGTTAGGGTTTAGGGTTTAGGGTTTAGGGTTTAGGGTTTCGTGAGCCCAGGTCATAGTAAAGCTGCTGAAGCCCCTGGAGGGTCACGAGCCTGAACTGACCGTGAAACCAGACCAGCTTGAAACAGTGCTGCCAAAATTTGGCAACAAGGCCAGGGCTACCTCAGGGTTTAGGGTTTAGCCATGCAGTGTAGGGTTTAGGGTTGGCTACCTTCATTTCCTTCTCATTGTTGTTTCAAACATCAGTTTTTGTTGCTGGTCTAAAGGGGGAACCCCGCACCCTCAAGGCTAACCCCTAAAGCAACCGCTAAACCCTAAACCCTAAACGCAAAAGTGACGCCAAACCCCAAACCGCTAAAGTGACGCCTATTGGAGAGATGTAGGCCCTAGGCCTTAAACCTTGAACCACAAAGGCGACTCCTATTGTAAACATTTAGCTCAACCCTAAACCGCTAAAGTGACTTCTATTGCAGAGGTGTAGGCCCTAAACCCTAAACCGCTAAAGTGATGTCTATTGGAGGCATTTAAGCCATAGCCTAAACTCCTAGTATCCCCCTCAGTAACCCTTGTAATACTCCCCTATATACTCCCCTATATAGCCAGCTTTTTAAAGAGTTTTTTAGACCCTAAACCATAAACCCTAAACCCTATATAACCACCCTTTAAGGAGTTCAGACTATACACGGTTTACGGTTTAGGGTTTAGGGTTTAGGGTATAGCTCATTTAAGGGAAGCCTGCAGGTGCTGGTTCTTGGGAAAGGGACCCAACAGGAGGGCACCCTGCAATCTGTGGAGACCGATTCTGGGCCATGTCTGAGTGTTTTTTTAAACGCTGGTAAAGCTTAACAAGGAATTTTGAATATGATTTTTTTGGTCTGGGTTCCCCCTTAAGTAGATAGAATATGGCTTCGGGTATGTATAACAAGATTCTCATATACCCCATATTCTATCTACTTAAGGGGGACTATACACCGTAGCTTTCAATCGCATCCTAATGTGGAGCCAGGATAGCTTCACCTGCACTGTCGTGCTGAATGACGGACAGGAGCTGTCAGGCTTGCCATACGACCGAGTGTGCAAAGTCTGGGCAGGCTCCTAGTTTCACCAAAGTACCGTGGGTTTAGGGTTTAGGGTTTAGGGTTTAGGGCAGCAGGCAGTTTCAAAGCACCCTGCGCCACCCATTTTCGGAAAAAGGTCAATGGGCAGTCTTGAAGTGTGAGGCTGCGTAGCTTGCGGGCCTAAATGCAGGTTACTCAAAGTAGGGGAACTTCAGGGAATCCATTGGGAATTTAAGCAGAGTAATAGGGATAATGGAAAGAACATGGAAACCACCATAATGGGGTTATATAAGGTTTTGGGCTAAGGGTTTACAGAGCATTGCTGCACTAATCCTTTGACTTTTGCATTCTTCCCCTCGGTGTTTCGCAGAAACCGAAGGACTTGATGCCTTCAAGTAGCCCCTAAACACTAAACCCTAAACAATGCTCACACAATAAACCCACTGATCCATTCCTTGCCTCGCCTAAGCCATAAATTCCAAACGTCTAAACACCTAAGTACCCGAAACCCTCAACTCTGAAACCCTTTTAGATCATATTTTTATGTATAGTCCCCCTTAAGTAGATAGAATATGGCTTTGGGTATATCATAATAAGTTCCCATATACCCCATATGTCATCTACTTAAAGGGGACTATAACCCTAACCACGCCCCCCCCCCCCAAAGCCTATAAAACCCTGACACTTTCGAGCCATGATGGAGACGTGCGCTTCGGTCTGTAACAGCGGCGATGTGCCAGCTAGCGCCGACCATGGTTTGTCCTCCACCTCGGATTTCGTGGCACAACAGCGGCTGGGTTTAGGGTTTAGGGGTTTAGGGTTTAGGGTTTTGGGGTTTAGGGTTTAGGGTTTAGGGGGGTTCAGGAAGAATCCTAATTTCAGACTTGGTCCAGGGTCTGGGAATGGAAAGGAATATGGCAGCTGCTATTCAGGGTTTATGGTTGATACCAGGGAATCAAAAATCCAATGGTAAAGCAAATTGAAGATGAAGTGGTTAGTGCACAAGGATGTACAGGGTTAAGGGTTAAATGTTAAACTGCTAGCTGTTAGCAGGAAATGCCGAATGGACAAGAAAATGGAAGCTCCACTCTGGGTTTAGGGTTAGGGGTTTCTTTATGATGTGCATACCAGGAGAAAACATTTCATTCCTAAAACCTAAACCCTTCTGGGAAAAGGGTAGACATGGGGTTAAGGGTTGGTTCTGAAGCTTCTCACGCATGGGGAGTGTAAACTTCGGGGACAGACGGGGCAGACAAGGGCACCCCAGCTTTGAGAAGTGCCGATGCAACCCTTGAGAGACAGTCTTCCTCCGGCTGTTCTTCTGGGTGCACAGGACCTCGCAGACCACCTAAACCCTAAACCCTAACCCAAAACCCTGAACTCTAAACCCTAACCTGAAACCCTAAACTCTAAACCCTAACCCGAAACCCAATGAGCGTGGGGGTTGATGGCAGGAGGGGAAGTCCTGGAATTTCCTTTTTGCTGGGTGGGGCTTGACTGGGCTGGGCAGGGGGTTGAGTAGAGGGGGTTTCTAGAGGGTTCCAAACCCGAGCCTGGATCAGTTGTCCTGTGTCCAGTGCTGTGCTTCCTTGGTTGGAAGTGATGGTTTAGGATTCAGGATTTACGGTTAGGGTTTAGGGTTTGCAATTAAGGGTTTAGGCTTTCGGATTCAGGATGTACGGCTTATGGCTGAGGATTTAAGGTTTAGAAAGATGTCTTCAATCCACAACATTTCTACCCTTTATGGGCACCTAAACCTATCTCTACACCCTGCACCCCGACCTGTGCACCCTGAGTCCGAAACCCAAACTCCTAAATCCTTCACCCAAACTCCAAACTTAAAGCCCCAACCTTATGCCGTAATCCTAAATCATTTGAAATCACAGCCCCTAAAACCCGTCCTTGGTTCCAAGGTATTGGCAGTCTCATGAGGTGGTTGGCCATGACCTGCTTTCTGACGTCCGGGATCTCTTGAAGGTCTTGGAGACTTGGCCTTTTAGGGCATCAGGGGTGTCTTCAGAAGAGGTTGAGTGGTCCTTCCAATCATGTTGTATGGAATATTTTCTCGAAAATAACCGTCATGAAGAAGTTAGAAGCTAACACCAACAGCCATTTTACGATCATTGTATCATACTTTGAGGAAGTAGGGGTGCATAAATTTGTGGTTGTAGAAGATCATGGCACACCTAGCTTAAAACCGTATGCCAATCACCTGGATTTAGGGCTTAGCTTTTAGAGTTTAGGGTTTAGGGCTTGGGGTTTAGGGCGTAGGGTTTAGGGTGAGGCAAAGTTTCATAACGTGCTACGAAGCTGCATAGAACTTGCCAAAGCATTGCAAGATTTCAGCCAATTTTGAGGACTGAATTCTGTTATTTTCAAGGCCGACTAAAGTAGCCAGCCGGAGTTGCTAGTCCGAGAATTCTAGATTTTGCTAGTCGTAGCTTCGTTTTTGGTACTTATACCCTGCCTGTGTACAAGTACAAACCCCAGCCCCGGGCCGTACGCCGTAAGCCCTAAGACCTAAAACCCTAAGCCTGAAAACCCCAGACCCCAAATCCGAACTAAGCCTAAACCCCAAAGCCCCGCATCCGAAGGCCTAAAACCCTAAGCCTGAAAATCCTCAACCCCAAACCAGCACTC